CCCGTCAGCCGACGTGCCCAGCGCCCAGTGTATCCCCGCCCCCTTGGCCATGCCCGTGCCGGTGAGCGACGACCCGGCGGTGACCTCCGACGACCTCGACGGGACCCCCGAGGACCCCGGGCAAGGGCCCCAGCCCGGGGTGCCCTACTCCGTGCCCGAGAGCGTGGACGAGGTCATCGGGGAGGAGCTGGACAGCCTGCTGGAGTGCATGCCCAAGGGGGCGGAGCTGAGCATGGTGAGTGTCCGCAGGGACAGCTGGGAAGGAACCGGGCTCGCGCGTGGTTAACAATTGTCTTTAAAGGGGGTGATTCTGTCTCTGTAACAAAATAAATTCATTGGTGGTACAGAAGAAATGTGACAGATTTCGAATCGAGCACAAAGTCCCGAACTCTGCGAAAGTACTGTAATTTGCCTTGCTGTCGCAAACCCCTCGTCTCTCCACGGGCGAGAGCGAGAGTTTGCGGCACTTGAGACGCGATGGGGCCCTTCCTGCTCCCTAGTCGCTGTAGCAGACTAGCGTACTGTGGCGTACGGGCGGATCAGTACAGGAATGTTCCAACACGATCTGCGGGCAGAGCTGACAAGTTGCATGCGTTGGCAAAGCCTTCTTGGAAGTCGAGAGGGGTATTTCTGATGGGTTGAAAGAGTTGTGTTGACGAGCCTCACCGGAGGTTTCGCTGCCTCGTTCTGACCGGCAGCGCGTGGCGCCGCGCAGACCTGGGAATGTCGTCTCCGCTGTGGTGTCGGCTGGGGGTCTTACAAGTTTGCGCTGCACGTTGTCATTGTGGTGTGAAAGGCACTCATCCGCGCCGATTCTTTCTCACCCTGGGGTGGAGATGCTGCCCATCTAATAGGCCTGCAACCACATGGTCGAGCTCCACCAACCCCAGCCTCGGGCTGCGGTTCCCCTGTAAGGCCCTGCAGCGTGAGGCTCGTTCGACCACGTGATTGCAGGCCTATGAGATGGGCAGCAGCTTGGTTTAAATGATGTGGTATATCCGTATCGGCGGGTGGTCACAGTGGGTGCCTCTTGGCCCGAACAGGAAAGGCATTGAACCTGTAACCGGCTGTGATCGTCTCCTGTCTCCCTCTCTCCGCCCGTGCCAGGCTCCAGTCCAGGGGGCCATCCCCACCAACCTGCCCAACACGGTCGCCCATCTGCTGCCCTCCTACGCCGGCGGGGCCGCCCCCAGCTCCCTGCCCCCCGCCATGCCGCCCCCCACCCCCCAGCTGCCCCCGGCGTTCTTCGGCTCGGCCGTGAGCCAGCTCAACGCCCTGGACTCCTTCCCGGGGCTCGGCTCGGGCGAGGGCAGCGGCACGCCGTCGCTGGACGCCCTGGACTCCTTCCCCCTGGCGGCGGTGGCGACGACGGGGGGCGGGCGCGTGGCGATGGGGGGCTCCGGGCTGGACTCGCTGTCCGAGTTCACCCTGCCTGGTG